AGAGTCCTGGGATATAAAGTGTGATGAATTTTTGCTTATGAAATATTAAAGACTGCATTTTTTAGACTGAGGAGTATATATTTTTACGTAGTCAGACTGTTTTTTGGTCTGGAAAATCCAACATGTCCAACATAAGACCTAGAGAAATAAATACTAGAGGAAAAATTGAGTTTCCCATCGAATCTTATCAGGCTACCTTATCGTTGCAAAGAACAAAAAATAATATTTTCCGCAAACAGAAAAGGAAGCCGTAGATAAGCATCTATTGTTCTCATAATAAAATGATTTACACAAACATATTTGCGTGGAGGCAGTCAAAGCTGCCCAACGCTACTTTAAAGGCGATGGACGTTTTAATTAACTCCAGTAAAACGGATTCTGTAATAGAGTGCCACGTGGTTTATGCTTTGTTTGTTGGGCGGTCGTCCACTAGATATAGCGCTATACTAAAATAGACTATCTTTTAATATATGTGACGTATACGCTCATAGTATTTTATTTTTCTAAATATTACGTTTTATTCGGTGTTTTTGTTAATATCTAAAATGTCATATGAGTACCTTTAGTTTTGTGATGTTTAATAATTAACTCTTTTTTATAATCTGTACTTAACAACTAATGTACGATTTATTTATGTATGAGATTTTTAGAAAATTTTTTATTTTTTATTGGGAGTATATATACATAGGCAAAGATAAAACAGTTCAGTACTTTTTCTCCTCTGTTTGTCAATCGTTTTTTTTATTTAGCTTTAAATCAATAAAAAATGGTCATGGTGGAATTTTGACCACTGAGCGAATATTAGTTATAAATAAAAAGTGAAACTTGTTATTACATTTTATTGTTTGTTATAAGACGTTATTACTTTATTCCCCACAGAGTAATTTCTACATTAAAATTGTACATGACAGGGACTACGTTTGCTTCCCGAATTAAAGAAATACTAATTAGGCTATAGGTTTTTGTTGTCACTGAAATCATTAAAACATAATGAATATATTTTATTTTATTTAAATAGATTTTTAAGCTGTTTTGAATCAATATTGAAAGAAACATCACGTATGAATATATTCTCTCAATTAAAATACGCAGAGCTATTTAAAAATTCTGAATCGCAAAGATTTTAGTGGATGGACAGCATCACCTCGCCCATGTCAACAGTTACAGAGGGTTTGGACATGCATCTACATAATAAAACAAGTCTCTAATTAAAAGTAACCGAAAGTTTAATATGTTATTCAGGTCATGTTCATTTTTAAAATATAGCAAATTTCATTTATTTTGTACTAACAGCCGGTATTAACTTCACTGAGATTCTTCTTCAATCTTTTTAAAGCAAACTTTTTTACCTATTTTCAATCCTTTTTGAGTTAGATTTAAAAAAAATCAGATCGTCAGATTAGCTTATTGACCTGGACTTTAAAAATTAAACGTTACAAGCAGTTTAATTATAAGATAAGCTATTATATCCGAAATATTTTATTGTCACATTTTTACATACTTATGAATCTATACATATACTAATTTAGTTTTTGTCTGCGACTCCACATCAATAAATAAGCCAGTATTATTATAAGATATCCCCATCATCAGTCTTTACAGGGTGAAGATACAACAAACACAATCACTCACAAAATTAATCACTCACTCACTAATTCAATCATTCACTCACAAATAAATCACTCACAAACATTCACATTTATATTATTGGTGTAATTTATAAAGCAAAGTCTCCTCTCGCTTGGATGTAACTGGTGCTGTGTTCGAGCTCTAGATTAGCCATGCCGTTGTTATTGCGTCCCGGCTACCAATAATCTGGCTAAGATATTGTTGCTTTGTTACGATGCAATATTAAAATAATATAAATTAAATCCACGCGGGCATAATTTGCTCAGTTATAATTAAATGTACATTTGTTTTCAAATTATAAATATACTTAATTATATATACTACTAGCGACTTACACTTGTTTCGCTTTTTTTAGTGAAACTCTAATTCTTTTTCTAAAATAAAAGTAGCCTTAGTTACTCCTTATAAAATCAGCTATCTGCCAGTAAAATTTCCGTCAACATTATTCCAGCCGTTTCGCATATTAGCGGGACAAACAGACAGACAAAACTTTAAAAAATTATGTTTTTCTTATAAGTACTATATAAAATTTCATATGCATATAGTAAAAAGCTGTTATTTTGACATTACAAACAGACACTTCAAATTTTATTTGTCTGTATAGATAATTATACTTATAATATGCTTATTATATAGAAATATACTTATTTCTAATTTCCATTAAAGGTATTTTCTGGAGTTGAGATATTCTAATAGTGGACTGGTATTGCCGAGACCGATGTCAAAGACGTGTAAAAGTCTCTGTGTATGTCACTTATGCCCGATTTCACCAACAACCCATAAGCTACCACCTACGTATGGGATCCCTAGCTTAAAAGTCCCCTAAACTAGCCCCTAAATTAAATTTCGTTTTACGATCGTCTTTAAGCCTATATTTCGAGCACCTACATTTAGGGGGCCTTTTAATATTTAGGTGACTCCTAACTGTCGGTGAAACAGAATCTGTCCCCTAACAGCCCCCTAACCATGCTTAGGGGATCCCTTAAACTTAGGTGACGTTGGTGAAATCAGGCATTAATGTATCAAACTACATAGTGGCTCGTTTCTTTTTTATTTACTCAAATATTATATTTTTTTTTACTTTTCTAATTTAGGTATAAAAATATACATAATGGTGATACGTGATATTGCCTATCACTTTACACTTACAATATAAAGCCAAACTGTGACACGGTTCGTAGCTCTCGGTAGATCGGTATCATCCTCTGAAACAATTGTGAATCACTCGAGTACGACTGAATGGATATGAATAATAATAGTCTGAATAAAAAAAACATAACCAAATTTCATTTCAATCCATCAAACCGATTCAAACATTTAGTTTGAATTTTCCGTTTTACGCTTGTTTTTATAAAGCATTCATATATCGTTCTTGTTCACGGGAAATGTTAAGAAAACGATGTTACCTCTATAGTAAAAAGGAAAGTTTGTTGACCTTATCTTTTTTATATGAGTACAGTAGTAAAATTTTTAGCGATAAAATGTGATAATGTTGCCGGAAAATTGAAAAATTCGAGAGAAACTGGATGGGCTTTTAAATATTTTTTTTCGTAAAAGATCATAAACTTTATCTATCCAGAATAAAAATGAATTATATATATATATATATATATATATATATATATATATATAAAGTATTTTACCACTTTGAACATAACCATCGCTATATTTTACTGTTGAGATATGATTGCCGATTCTTTATCAGTTACCTTTATTAACCACTAGCGGCTCACCCTCGTTTCGCTCGGGTTCGTCCCTACGTTGCTTCCCCATACAAACTTTCATCCCCATTTTCACCCCCTTAAAGGATGATGCCCGGGATAAAAACTATTCTATATCCTCCTCAGGGTCTTAAACTATCTTACTACCAAATTTCATTTAAATCGGTTCTGTAGTTTCGGAGCTTGTTCGGTACAAATAAACAAAAAAACAATTCCTCTTTATAATATTATGAAGATATACATCGATTTCAAATTTACTTATTATATACAGCCGGAATAACTATTCTGGCTGAGACTATCAATTTTTTAATGGTATTTAAAAATTAAAAAAGATTCATCATCAAAAAATCTATTCATAATTGGTGAAGATATTCAAATTCCATCAATCCGAACTAAGTACGAGTATCTCGTCACCTACGGTGTTAAAACAAGATGTTTAGGAAGTTTTAGAACTAAAATTAGTTACTGTAGTAGAAATATATACTAAATTCTAACACCAAAACGTTACAAATATGTGAACGTATGAATTTCCACATTTAGGATATGAAACCGTGAAATAGCAATTCAGCACATTTAACGCGTAATATAACTTCGTACACACCCACAAAATAAGTTATCCATGTAAAATGAGACGTGGTTAAGTTTTCTCAGCGTGCATAATATATATTTTAATGTCCAGTAGAATACGAGTATGTGTGTATATATACATATTTTAGAGAGTTGGTGGTGTATTTTACAATATAGTTCTGTGAATGCTTGAATTAGATTACAATTCAAAATAATTATTTTAATACCTTTTCTTCGTATATTGTGTATAAAAGTTAACAGATGTCTTGCCATTTATTTTTTTATACCTAAAATTTGAGTAATTTTATGAAATAATTCAAAAGTTAAAATTAAAGCTATTGTCGTTGTTGGTGTTCAGTAATTAAAATGTAAACGTGAAGTTTAGCGCTAAAGCAGGTGTATATAAGTATTAATAATATGAATTATCAATAACAGAGTATGAATTACACAAAGACGTAGGTCGTTAAGCGAATAAGTCTTTTAATTAAAATTGTTAACGCAACCTGAAACTATTACCCGCAAAACGGTCTATTGTGCCCTTGAATTCCCCAGGATATGAATTACCTGCCTAACGACTCTTTTCCATCTCTCTCACTCCAACTAATTCGCGTACACGATTTATACCTGTCACGTTCCAGCGTTCGTATATCACATTCGTAAGAGCGATCTAAGACCCTAAAATGAGTGTTTATTGCTGGTCCTTTAAGCCGGACTCTAGTGAGCATCTGAAGGCTTCTTAAACGAAATTGTGCTTTTTGTCTTTACTTTAGGTGTGCTCGTAAATTTAGTGGTTCGAGAGGTTCAGGTGCGTGGCTAACGGGTTTATCCAGTCGTAACTCTTCCAAGTAGGTCGCATCGAGTATCCAACAAGGATTTGCCCAATTTGTTGCGGGAGGTTGCGAGCGCTTTGTCGGTCATTTGTAAATCCCGCGTTAGGTTACGTGTGTCATGAATTATATAGTAGATACGTAGAAAGTGGCGGAATAGTCAAATGTAAATAAAAAGTAACGCAACAGCCTCCTAGCTTTAAATACTGAAATATTCATCAAAGGAAGATCTAATATTCGTGCTCGACGAGCAAACATGAAGTTTACATCGGTCACGTCCAATAAAAGTGAGTGGAAGGCAGGTCCAATTAGCAAGTACAAACACGTGAACAAAAGAAATGCAGAGAGAAAAAATAGACAGAAAAGATCTCAGCACCAGATAAAGCTTTTTAAAATACAGGAATTTTTCATCTCAATTTACCTCATTGTGAGGCTTGTATTGTGCTGTGCTTAAATTCGGAGCTTCATGAAAAGCTCCTGCTAATTTTTTTACAGTTTTGAAAATTACCAAGAAATGTTCTAAGTAAATTACATTTACATTTAGATAATATACTTTAACTGTTCTAGAAGAAAAAGGTATTTTATAACGCTGAATTAAGTTTCGTAGGGATTTTTTTTCTCGTCTACTTAGCATATACAATTTTTAATTAGAATTTTTTTATAGTATTATATTCTTTGGTAAGTCGTTTTTCCGTGTCTTCAGATGTTGCGGATGCGATTGCAATATCTGGTAAAGAAAACTGCGGTGTATAATGTACATAGGTAAATGGTAGCCAATGTACGAGTATACTGTATGGTGTATCTCTTAGTTATACGTAGAATCTTGAATTTGGTGTTTCTATACTAAAATAATTATTTCCTTAAAAGTGACATGTCAATAGTAAAGTGTTATTTATTTATTAGAATTACCAACAAAAGTTATATTAAATTACATATATAAAAAAAATCCTTATAAACATGCTGATGATGATGATTGCACTTTTAATTAAAAGTAATTATATTATATAAATAAGTACAACAAAAAAAGAAACTAATAAAAATATATACAATTATACAGAGTGATTTGTTTTTGTGACCAATAAAATAGTATAATTAATTATAAATTAAATAAATTTTAAATTATATTATAAATATAAAAACACATATAGAGCGATAGAATGAATATAATTGTAGAATAAAGAAAAAAGTACGAAAAAATCATTACATTTATTTCAATTAAGTATACTTAAAATGGACAATTTGGATAAATGGTGAAGGAAAACATCGTGAGGAAACCTGCATGTCTGAGAAAACCTAGCAAGTTTTAGAAAGACATGTGAAGTCCGCCAACCCGCCAACCCGCGGCCAGCGTGGTGGACTATAGCCTGATCCCCCTCGTATGAAGGGAGGCCCGTGTCCAGCACTGGGATGTTAAAAGGGATGAATACATACATACATACTTAAAATCTGAAAACCTATTTATATTATACCTATGTATTAGCGTAACCTATTATATATAAATTATGTATAAAACTAAATATTTTGTACACAGTATCGGAGCAAGGACCGCACGAGAAGCGTCTCCTCAACGCACTCCTCAATTCCTACAACACACTAGAACGGCCGGTTGCCAACGAAAGCGAGCCATTGGAAGTCATGTTTGGACTCACTTTGCAACAAATCATTGACGTGGTAAGTTAGATCTAGTACTTATATATTATGTTAGATTTAGTGGATGGATGAACGGATAGAATAACAGATTTAATTCACTTAGAGATAAATTAAAGTCGACTTTAGTAAGATACATCAGTAATATGTTTCTATTGTGACGTTATTATAATATATTATAGAAGTCATTTGTAAAATATTATTATAGAAAAATTCTTATAGTGTACACGAATTAATTATGATAAGTTACTAAGTTTAGTGGTTGTTTAATTTATTTTAAAGCGAAATTTGTGTAATTCAAAAATATATCAAAGGAAAAATTACCACATAGCACATTTGTTAAATGGACATAAGTCCAAAATACGTTATGAAAACGTGCTTCCTCAAACAATGCATGGAATGTGGTTTTGAGAATTATGTTGAAATATATAAAATATATTTAGCTTTGTGGTTTTTATCAGATTCTGGTTTTGAGATAGAATATAATCATTTATTGCGTATGCTAACTGCATATTGCCTAGGTTGAGTGGTGGTTATAATTAGCAAGTGTTAGTTCTATGTGATGAAATACTATTTTACAGATAAAATAAATATTTTGGGTAATTTTATCAATAAAAACTATGACAATGCGTGTGATCAGGCTGTTTCTAATTTATAAATTATAAATATTTTAATATTTATATGAACCTTTATAGTATAAATTAAATATACTTCAGTCAGTTCGTCAGACGAAAGATAGTTTCACGATAAGAAATATTATCGATGTAATAACCAAAAATGTCTATAAAGAATATTACGTGAATTTTATAACTCGTAATAATAAGGTGAGTTTTATTTTCGGATCTACTTAATCTCACAAAAGCATACACAAAAATTCAAAAGTTGCTATAACGTCTACAAAATCCGAAATACAATGAATGTATCAAAATGTCTGAACAGATCTTCATAATTTATAGCTAAGAACCATCTCGATCACGTCAGCTTTCAAACAAAAAAAACCGTATCAAAATCGGTCCATTTGTTTAGGAGCTTCGATACTACAGACAGACACACTGACAGGCACACAATCAGACACGTCAATCTTACAACACCCCTCTTATTGCGTCGTAGGTTAAAAAAATAATCAAGAAATCCAATTTTTTCGTTTGACATTTTTAAAATATAATTATAAACATCTTAAGAAATGCGAATTAGGTGATTATTGTGTTATAATGATCTACCAAACCAAGTTTCGAAGCTGTTAACTGTCAAGGCATAAGATGGTATAGTTAGAGCTTAAGTTTACTTGGACGTGGAACAAGCCTCAGATTTGCGTGTGAACACTGTAAAGCGTATTTATCACTAGAGAGTAACGACTACGGTTTTCGTCTTCTCTGTTAGAAATATATATATTTCTATCTATCTATCTATCTATATATATATTTCTAACAGAGAAGACACATATATATATATATATATATATATATATATATATATATATATATATATATATGTAAATACACTAGTATAATATACAAATACATAAATGAATACTAGAAATAAGATGCTGGGTCGTGATAATGCTAGTTGTATATATTGAATCTAGACGAGTTTAAATAAATTTTTAAAGATTAAAGTGTTTTTTATGGGAAAATTATATGTGTGCTTGGATTTTATTTTGTACTTCTTAACGGTTACATAACTTCTTAACGGTTCTGCAAATCAATGATTTGCCTTTTTATTAATAATTAAATAAAATCATATTAATTCCATTATAAATTTATTATATGAATAAATAAATAATTATATGATTTCTAACATGTCTTTCGAAAGTGCATATTCCTACAGTAAATAATTCAAAATATTATATGAATTAAAATTACCTCATTACCCAAAACTTGCTGTTAGTGTAATTATTAATAGAACGAAGCTACCAACTATGAAATAATTTTAAACACATGCATCCTCAGTCACCCAAACTTTACTAAAAATTATTTATAAAAAAAAGTTCAATTTTAAAAACTTCCATTTCTTATATTCGTGTGAGTTTTGCCAACTGTTGGATAGTTTAATACACCGTGCATGTAGTTCCATTGCGAGAGATTTTAAGGAATTGAAATCGTATTTTTGTTCTGGAAAATGGTATATGAAATTCGCAAAAATAAGCTACATATTGAATGTTTTTAATCTCCAATACAAATATTAAAGCTCCAAAAGTTGTAGCTTTAGTATAGTTGTAGCGTATTTAGTATTGCAAATGAGTTTATACGATATTTAACCAATCAGTTATTGAATGCAAAAGGTTTACTTATTTGCCATATATTTCATTTTGCTAATGTGTTAGTGGTTTTTATGTAGAAAAATGGTTATATTACTTTAAAGACAATATATTTTGAGTTAGGTTACTCAGATAAATATATAATTATTATAGCTCATGAAATGTACATAAATTGTTTTTTTTTAATTTTTTCGTGAACCATTAGGTTTATTTATTTATATATACAACTAGCGGATTTAATAATTTTTTTGATGAAAATTATTATTCAAATTGTGAATATTATATATATAAAGATGTACAATTTAATAACAGATTGTATACCCATAAATATAAAATATCGTATTCTTTGTGTAGAAATGACGGTATTATTTTACTTTGTTTTTTTGCCAGCAAAACCTTTTTTACAACAGAATTGACAGCCGTCTGATATCTTTGCCTTTGCCACAAAATTCAATAGCGAAACAAGTATGAAACACGGAGAGCGAAATTGTTTGTTATGCAGATTGAATAAAAAGCTTTTACTTTAAAATTAATATATATATATTATTTTAATCCTCAAAATTCGCAAAGGATTTTATGTAATATGTTCGTTTGAAATTTAAAATTTTGCTCGGAGATATAATTGTTGAAATTTTTAAATTCGAAAGATGAAAGTGGGATTTTTTATTGTTCGTTTTTGGTGATTGCTGTTTAAGCTCTTATATAGATCGTGTAGACTATTTAATTTTAAATAATATACATTGAGTAATGTGAAAAATCAGTCAAGTGCGAGTCGAATTCACACATGAAGGGTTCCGTACCATTGTACATATATTTTTTATATGTATATAGTGTATTAATTTCCATGATCGATTACGAATGTTAAAAAAATGTTTGTTGTATTTTTTTTATTTTTTTTTATTATTTTTTGTTATAGCAGCAATAGAAATATGTACTCTGTGAAAATTTTAACTTACCCTACTAATTATAAAATTAATACTAACTGATAGCGGAATTATTTCCAAGGGGGTGCATCTGCTTTTTCACATTTAATCTGTAAATGATAAACTTTATATTTTTTATTCATATCTTATTTATCATATATTTTTGCAGATATCTAAATTTAAACAGGGATTTTACTAAAATTTATACGATCTTAAGCGCACAAACAGATAGACATATTTTAAATATATAAATACTTTAAATAGTCACATAAACTTACAGTAACAGGTACGTAAGTAATAAAGATACTTGACCAATTTATTTTTAACAAAGCATATAAGAAAATTATAATTTTTACTTGGTTTATAGATTTATTTCTAACGATATGTCACCTCAAAAGTTCAGATAAAAAATGGCATGAAAATTTATATTCATCTTTAAAACATTTCAAACGGGAGTGCAATTGAGATAAATTGAAATCTGAGACCCAGCAAGTTGTAGCGAAATGAAAAAGTAGTTGGCCGCAAAATTAAGAGAAAGCCAAGAGTGAAATCTTAAAATATCTTTTTAAAGTTTAATAATATCTTTGATTTAAAAATACGGGTTTTCTTTTGCTACATTTTAGCTCTCATTCTTCCTCGTTCCGATTTCGTGGCGATAGCTTGACTAGTTTGTTAGGTAAGTCTTGTGTAATTAATCAAAAATTGTGACTACTTGGCAAGTGAAAATCAAAGTCATCATCAACAAACGAAGTCTGAATTTTTTAATTGTTACAAAATGGCATTTATTAAAGAGAATATAATAGAATTCTATTAAAAAATATTATAAATGGTTAAAAAAATATCTACTTTTTAACTTTTGTAGCGGTAGTAATTTATCTTCGTAGAATGCAAAGACAAAAGGTTCGCAAGTAACGCCCCAGGTTCAAGTTGCTCTCTTTTAATTTTTCAGTGAACTCTGTTTGATCTTAAGCGTAAACTAACCGAATGCTGGCGTCACTTCTTGGTTGGTACTGACTTGTATTTAACTTTCTTTTATTCTAGTAAGGAAATATTGTTGTTGAAAATTTTAACTTTTAGTAAAACTTTTACGCCTTAATCAAAATATCTTTGGTAAACGATCAACGCTTTTTTTTTTAACGTTGGGAAATGCATTTACGCACGACGTGTGGGACTCACCGGCGTAATACAGCCAGTACTACCCACTAAAACCCAACAAAACCTTCCCCCGTCTTAATGGGGCGTCGCAGGATCGCTTACGCATTCAACTACGACGCCCCGACGGCAGGTCTGCCGAAGCAGACCACCACAACCATGGGGTTGCTCCAAGGTCCACTCTGCTATCAGAGAAGTACCAGGAGCAACCCGCATAGTACACCGCTCTCCAAAGAGGGCCACCTCCCACCGCCCACCGAAGTGGGCAAACCTCCCTGTGCGTTTCTTAGCTTCGCGCCCGGTTGGGTTGCCGGGCACTACTGAGCCCCCCCACCACGACAAGGTGAACGCACGTTGGGGGGGTAAACGATCAACGCTACCTTTAGGCATATTTTGTTACTAACAGTAGTCTATATGTTATTCCAGTTGTATCTGTGTATATATAAATACGTCCAGCTGTTTTAGAGTTAAGAAATAACATACATACATACAAACTTTTAAATTTATAATAGTAGCGTGATTAGAATATAATGTGAGATAACAAGTTACGTTAATATTTTCGTGTGTTTGTTTGTTTATCTTTCTTTTATGCAGTAGCACAGCAATGGATTTTTTTGTATAGTACTGCGTGTTTAATTACGGTAATTTATTAGTAAATAGGCAGTGATAGCACAGTGGTAATGTGCTTGCTCGTGGAACTGAGTGAAGCGGGTTTTAATCCCAGGTCTCGCACCTCTGATATTTTCATGTGCAAGTAATTTCCAACATGATTACCACTTGCCTTACGGTGAAGGAAAACATGGTGAAGAAATCTGCGTGTCTGAGAGAACCTAGCAAGTTTTCGAAAGACATGTGAAGTTTACCCACCCACAGTTAACCAGCGTGGTGGACTATGGCTTGATCCCCCTCGTATTGAAAGGAGACACGTGCCTAGCAGTGGGACTTTAAAAAGATCTGAATACAAAAGCAGTAATTAGAACCCCCCAGTGGCTGTTTTTGGAAGCAACAAAAATGGTTAACGACTTAATTACATACAAAGCTCAAGCTTAAAAAAGCTTGTTAAATAATAGAAATAAACGTTGTCCTAAAAATTCATCACAAGATGATTAATGTACACACAAAATGACACGGATAGCATCGTACATGACATGGATTACAAAGTAATTTTATCCGCAGCAAGTATTTTGATTGATTTTGTACTGTTAATGTTTTGACACGGTCGCCATTTACTTTTAAAGCAAAGCTTTTAAGTCGATTAGTTTTGGATTCTATATAATATATGATGTTTACGTTAGATTTTAGTCCGATTAAGCTATGAAATGAATGTAGCATATGTCACATATGTAAGTTTTTAAGCTCCATTATCTTTAGTATTACGGTTATTCGCGTGTTTTTTAGTATAAATTTAAATAATACTTGACGTTTTAATAGGTTAGAATCTTAAACTGTTTACTCGTGTCGATATTTTTAGATATATTATATATTAGCCAGCGTTAGCCATATAAATTTTAATTTTTTCCGCGTTGTTTTCCGAGTTTTTATTAGTTATTCTGCTATTCATTTATTCATATATGTATGTATGTATGTATGTTTTCATCAAAATTTTAATAATGATAATGATGAAGTTTCGACCACTGGGCTAACTGACACTAGTAAAGTATAGTAATTATTTCTGTATTTATTGTACAGTACTTCACCCAACTGTATGAAATTGAATTGTACAAGCCTTTACTGTAAAAAAATACTATGTTCCATGTTCAATTTCCTTATTTATGAATAAAGTTATTATTATTATTATAGTTATTATTTTTGTATTCTCAAAGCTTGGACTATTGCCTAATCGTATAGAAGAAAGCATGCCCAGCAGTGGGACGTTAAAAAAAGGGGCTGAATAACTTAATAACCAAAGCTTAAAATTAAAAACACACTTGTGAAATAAATGAATGTTCGACATTAGGGATGAGTACTGGCAGAGTGTCACAAACAGACAACTTGATAGGGATGTAGTTGCAATATATAGCAAAACGAGCGCCAGTTGCAGCTCTATAATAAATATCCTGTACTTCCTCTTTCTTAAGCTTGTTTCTGTTTATACTCCATGCGCATTTATTTAGTAGTATTATAAAGGTGCGCCCACACTGTCAGCGCAAATGTACTACTACGAATACAAAAACACTTATTTGTTTGTAAATTAATTATTATCAATTCAACGTGTACGGCTAATATTTAAATCTCAATCTATGTGTGTCCGTATGTTTGTACGCTAAGTTCTACTAAACTATGTAACGGATTATGATGAAACTTTACAGTAATATAGATTATATATCGGAGTAAGTAGTTAATTGTTTTAAAAGAACTAGTTGGGTTAGTAAGATAAAATCTTTTTTTTAACCTTGGGAAATGCATTTACGTATACCACCTGTATACATACTACATCCACCCGTTTTAATAAGGCATTGCAGGATTGTTTACGCTCTCAACCACTAAGCCTGTCGAGGCAACACACAACAACTTATGGGTTTTTAACGGCCTACTCGGCTATCACAGAAGTATCAGGAACAACACACATGGCATACTGCCTACCGAGATGGGCCGCCTCCCAGTGCGTTTCTTGGTTTTCCTTCTTGCGGGATTACCGGACGCTAGCGAGCCCCCTAATGTGCGCAAACCCTAACAATGCTATTTGCTAATCCGTCCTTTGTATTTGCCCGCTTTGAGCTGCAATATCGTAAGATGCAGCATCGTTTTCTTATTTCCCACAGTCTATTCAATCGGATGGCGAGTAATTGTAAGACCTTGTAGCATTTCGGGATACAGTATTTTTCTTCTATGTTTTTACTACATCTCAAAGATGTTGTAAAAATCTATTTTTTAAACTATGTTTTTTATTTTAAACCACTTTGGTGGTATTTAGCATTTTGTTAACGATTACTTATTTTTAAAAATATAGTACGGTTCTGGGGAAATATTATATTAAAGAACTATCACGTACAACTTGTCGTCTTATCAGACTACTCAGTAAAAGAAATAGGGACTGACATTTGTGTCTGCGCACAGTCTTATTCACTACACATATATTTGCCCACATTGGTCTCTGTATTATCTGTGTTACATTGTTAATATGCAATATATATATATATATATATATATATATATATATATATATATATATATATATATATATATATATATATATATATATATATATATATCTTGCGCAGTTAGCTAGTCTTAGTGAGAAACCCCTGGCTCAAATCGTTCTGGAGGATATTATTACCAAAAAATCTATTAATTATTATTTAAATACGTATGTATATCATTAATATCCTCGTCATCCATTAAGTATGTAAAATAAAAATATTTTTTTTAAATATTTTATACTCATGTAATTATATTCCTTCCTATTCAAGAGAATACGATGCTATAACATATAGAACCAAATCATTTTATTGCTATTATATAGTATCCACTATGTCCTCCTAGAAGTGATTAGATTTTACGATGTTCAAAGTTCACCATCGTATATTTAAAGTTAAATTGTCAAACGTAATTGATGTTAAATGAACACTAAGTTAAGCAAGGCAAAGATATCAGTTCAACGGAAGTTCAATATTGTTCAAACTCACCGTTTGGACGGTTGCCAGAAAATGGGAATAGTATTGAAAGGAAAATATTATCATGTTTCGTAGTTTTTTGCGAACGCTACACGTAAAGCTTTGTTCAAGTTGTTTTTGTCAACATGCTATTATCCTCTGTGAAAAAATACATACGTATGTAAATAAATTGTTTTTTTTTGTATCGTTAGTTAATTGATTCAAATTGATTATTTATATGTATATGTATGTAACTAGTCTGTGGCTTTGTTTACGTTTATTTAAGTCTAATTGTTTTAATTCTAATATAGCCCATCAAGTATTCAAAGTTTTTTTAACGTTCTACTGCTTACTTCCTTTCAGGGGAGGACTATCAGGTCATAGCCCACCACGCTAGCCAAATGCGGGTTAGCTTTGGCAAGACTACACATGTCTTTCGAAAACTTTCTAAGTTCTCTCGGCCATGCAATTGACGTTTCATCACGATGCTTTCCTTCACCGACTATAAAATAGTCAAAGTTAAAGATACCATGTGTCATCTCAATAAATCCTACTAATATTGTAAATGCGAAAGTTTGTGAGGATGTATGGATGTCTGGATGTATAGATGTTTGTTACTCTTTCACGCAAAAACTACTGAATAGATTTTAATGAAACTTAACAATAATATATCAGAATAACACGTAAGCTACATTTTATCCCGGAAAATGTACGGTTCCCGTGGGATAGATTTTTTTGTTATGGTTTTTGGTTTGTTAGAGGCGAACCCAAGAGAAGCGAGGGTGATCCGCTAGTAACCTATAAATTGAAAAAATAATAATATCAACTATTATAGAGATAAGCGCGTTCAAAAGAACTAAGAATAAAGAAAGACAAAAGTTCAACTTCATAATAGATTAATATTTAACGATTTTTTAATAGAAAATATTGTACCACATAAAAACCACTAACCGAGTAGGTACCTACTTAATTTTATAAGTTTCTTCTCTATTATTTTACAGCACTATAAACTATACTCGTAAAATATAATATTTATTCCTACACGTAAAGCTAAATTAACGTCTGCGAATACTTTTGCATTCATTTACATTTCAATTCCAGTTACAAAAAAAAGGGTTTTTTTTTCAACAATAACAACTAACGTGTTTGGATGTTCACATAATACTTCTGAACAAGAGCTAACATAAAGCTGAGCTAGCAAATATTTTTATTAAAGCACAAAACCGTTGACCGAATCAGGAATTTGGCGTGCATTTGCAAAGCTGTCAACCCATTTACGACTCCATTCATCATCTATTATTTCGTTTAAAAAACACGCGACACGATTCATTGCGAGAAATTTACGAGCGGTGGGTTTCTGCGATTATTTATGGAGAGCTCAATCATATTTTACTGTTAAACCAGTTTTTGTTAATTCACCGGAGTAATGTTCCACGTTTTGTAGCGTAAAATAGTTTAGTCTTATTGTACTTAAGCTAGGTTGAGGTGTAAAGCTTTAGTAAGAGTGAGTAGGATAGTCGGACTAATTACCTGGCGGGTGAGATTGTGTATAAATAATGAATGCGCGACATAACAATAGAATTCTGGATGTTCATTGTGTTTTTTCGTTCCTTTCTTGCGTCGCCGTGCGTTCATTTTACAAAATAAGGACGAGAAAAATCAAATCCTGACAACGAACGTCTGGCTTAACTTGGTAAGTGGTAGGAGCCGGGCAAGGCGCCTCCGCCGCCCCGCCCTTGCAATCAAACGGTAACTTTATCACGACAAAACTTTTTTCTTTCACGCACAGTAAACTTGGCTCGCACTAATTCTGGACAACTATGCACTTTGAGAGAACTGGTTACAGGAGGCGGTGCGGTTAGAGGGCGCCGCCATCGCGGCAATATTGTCGCATGGAGAGTCGGTGTTATATTGTTGTCAAATCGCCATATTAGATTGTGTGCGGGCGAGGTGCGAGGGGCTCTGAGCATGAGGCCCCTCGCGCGTCGCCCTGTCCCCATAACATAACTATGGGACCCGTACTGCTGTCTAGAACATTGTACTGACTGCGCCCTTTCTCTCTGTTTATGTTGACATCGTCTAACCAAATAGGACGAGAAGAATCAACTACTTATAACAAATATATGGCTGTCATTGGTAAGTGTAAATAAAAGATGAACCTAAATTAATACTTGATAAAATTTCTGATTTTTGTTTCGTATCGTTTTGTTTGATTTTTTCATTTTTTTGTTGATTCTATCGTTTATTTCTCTTTTCTGTAATGAAAATTGCATTGCATTGTGGCGTATGCGGCAGTCTGTAATTTATATGTTTTGGAGATTGTCTTAGTGTTTTTCTAAGATCCTCATCATTACGCTGACTTCCGGCTCGTGCAAGTAGCTTAGTGGTAGTCCCTGTTGCATCCCATCATGACACGGTCATTTGTTGGTTAGCATCATGACGACTTTTGTATCTACTGTATACTTTAGTTTCTAAGTACTTTCTGGTACTTTTCTTTAGTGTTTTTTTTTATTTCAGGTAAGTAAAATATTCGTTAAAATTCGCCATTATTGTTATAATTCCTATGGCGTTATATAGTTTTGTGTTTGAAATTGTTCTATAAAATCATATTATATTACATAAATATCATAGAATATTATATTACATAATAAATTATGTTTAGATTTTTTTACTATTTATAATAGCAGTTTGTCGAGACTCATAAGAACTGCCGTGTAACCCGCAATGCATTACATAAACAACATAAATAAATACATAAACTCTTAAAAAAACAAACAGAAAACAAATAAAAATGTCGAGTATGATAAATATAAATATGACATCACACGCGGGACTTTTCTTTTCAATTTTTGAAGTTTTATTTTTAACTGAAAAATTGGAGAGGTTATGCACACCATTGATTATGAGAAACACTGTAAATCTATTTTGCACATCCCAATACCCGCTGTTATTTTTTGGCTACAATGTTCAAAATTGTAGAACATCATGCTCTTCGTACTGCATGGCCATGCTAAGGGAATCTATTGGATGAAATTGGCGTTTTTGTTGGAACGTCGATGATTTCTAAATTTTCTATCCATCTTATGTAGCTCTTAGCTATTTTATAATACGTAAAAATTAATAAAATCGTTTGAAACTCGATAATATATCTTCCTTTCATCTTCCAAATTGAATGTCATAGTTTAATTATTTTTTTTTTGGATTTCAATTTTTCATTAATAAAAAAAATTTAAATAATTAAGGCCTTAATAGCGTACTTTTAATATAATGAAAGTTTAATATGAATATTTTGAGTTTGTTTTCATTAAAAGTACGTTATGGGAGCGTTAAAACATAATATAGCATTTACCAATATGGCAGCTTAGTGATCCCGATATGAGAACTCATTAGACCCTAACTCCTTTTCAAAAATCTCTGAGAGCGGTCAAATAAATAAATTTTTGCTTACGTTTTGTGTGTATTTGAATTGTGGCATGACTTGTCCGTTGCATGTTTAGATGTAATATGTAACTTTTGTAAAAAACTTTCTCTATTTCTATCTCTTTCTCTCTTCTTTTTTATTTTGGCTTGGAGGATATAATTTTTCGAATGGTGTACAGTGTTTTGTAATTTTCTGCAATTAATTTATTCATTTTCTACTGTTTAGCTTTAAATTAGCATCAAATAATTTTATATTTAGGCATATATTAAACACATTTTTCTTTAATTTTATTTCATTATTGTCATATAATTTCTTCTGAAGGCAATATATATTGAATGTATATCTAATATCATTGCTTACAGAAGAAAAATAAAATGTTTTTTTTTTAACCTTAAATACGGGTTACAGCTGTGATTTTAAATTAAAAAAAATATATAATTAATAAATTTAAATTGATTATTCATGTAATTAATTGTTAAATAATGTATGGTGCGTAAAATGAAACATTGAATTAATTATTATAGAAATTTTGAACAGTTTTAATTTTAGTATCGATTTTTTATGTTGTGATAATTAATTTAAAATGGAATAAAACTGGAAATAATTTTTTTTTATTCGTTAATAATTACGATGTAGGTACTTACTAATCAACTTTCCTATTAATGAATTTAACAAGTACTTTGTCATATATTAGAAGAAAAAAAGTATGTGTGTGCAATTCCCATATGGTAGAAGTGAAACTTCAGAAAAATAACCTACGAGAGAGTTAGATGAATATGGGGGTGTTAGGAGTAGGATAGTTGTAAGGTTTATTTTATATAATAATATTTTTACCAAATTTAAAAATTATTTTACATTTTATTTAACACATATTATTATTACATTATGTATTATTCAGTATTATTTTTACTATTTTTCACTTCCTGTGTAATATATTCTATCTCATTCTCTCGCCGGCTTTATCCTGTATATTTATGTGTTTGTCTCTTTGTTTGTGACACATTTTCGTTTCATCGAGTTTCAAATCACGATTCTAAAGAAGTTTCACTTCAAAAAACTTTTTATTTCCTCGCACTGTCCATTTTTATTTGATACGTTACATAATACATCTGAAGAACTTTTATTACTTATAATTCTCCAAAAAAATACCTTCAAAGTTCGTTACAGACTGGCATACAAACAAGCGAGTCTTATATAAGCATTCAATTTTTTTATCGAACGGTACTTTAAAAACATTTATGTACCTCAGACTAAAGAATTACATAGACGGAGTTCTAGACGGAGGACTAAAGAATCATATAGAAGAATAAGATATCTCTCATTCTTTAAAAAAAAAAAACATAAACAGCAGAAATCACTCTAATATTTTTGATTTTGACATTTTTTGCCGAACTACGTAGTAAAATGTCTTTTATACCGGTAATTTAGTCGTTAATTTACAATTTTTCCCAAGAAAATATGAATAATAATGAACAACAAAAATAATACTATTTCTTTTGTATTTTAATGCATTATTGTTAGTTCTCTTCCCCTTGAAAGAGCTTATTGAAATATTTCTTTATTATAATAAAATCCTTATTTTCCAAAATTATGTGTATTTTATTATTGTACTGTTTTAAAACATTACTTGGCTTCATGTTACGTTTTTCTTTGTTCTTCATGTTTTGTTCTTGACGACACGCTTGGCTCAGTTTGCAGTTATCCTACTTGCTGTTGTCAGCGGTCGCAGGTTCGAATCCCGCTGGAGATACATTTGTGTGATGAGCACGAATTTTTGTACTCCAATCATAGGTGTTTATATTTATAATATGTATGTATTTAAAGCTATATATGGTGTAGTGTATCAACTATCTGGTATCCATAACACAAGCCTCGTAGCTTACCATGGAACTAGATGGTGTTGTGTGTTAATATCCCAACATGTTTATTTATTTATCACACTCTATATATATTTTTCCTTAGTTTAAGATAATTTCATTCCTTTCACGCAGTTATAACTTGAACGGTGAGTTTTGCTTACGTAGTACCTATAACTGACGATGTATAAACACTAGCTTGATATTGCTAAGTTGTTACGGCGAACTTTTGTAATATAAGTGGTGAGAGACCAAACTTTGCAACGCTTTGTTTCATTTTACGTCTATATAAGGCCAAGTGTAAACGTGGAAAGCTATAAGGTCTCACTCAATATTTATTTTTCAAGTTATTTTTATATGAAATTGTATATTTAATGTAATGTTATTATGAAGTTTTTTAGTAGTTAATGAACTGTAATCTGTCGTTTTAAACTTTTTTTAATGGAAAGATTCAGGCAGATTCGTGTTTATTGAAATTTGTATTATGTTTTATCAAGTTTTTGCTAATATGAAAATAGAAAAGGCAAAGGAAGATTCATAAATATATTTTTATTGAAATCTGATTGATGATGATAATTGAGTGATACTTCCAATTGTATCGATTTCAAAACGACGCTGTAACCCGTATTGTATGATCAAGGGAAAGTAATTTTAAAATCTATTTAGTATTTAAAATTTAATACAATTTCTTCTAAAAGAAACATTGCTAATAAAATATTTCAAATGCTTATCAAAGATTTAAAATTACTTAAAAAACTTTCGGAACTTTTTTTCTTTCGTTTTTGTTCATTCACATAAACATGGTATTATATATATATATATATATATATATATATATATTTGTCCTTGTCTCTTATATGGCAATCTGTATATGTGTGACAGGAATGGAATGACTACAACCTAAGGTGGAATGACAGCGAATACGGCGGCGTCAAGGATCTACGAATCACACCCAACAAACTATGGAAACCTGACGTTCTTATGTACAATAGGTGAGCACTCTTGCATGGAACGAGATGTGATATAGCGCTAACATTTTTCTTTCAGTCAATAACTAACTTCGGAACTGGTAACTTTCTTCATTATTAAATATTTTTTTTACAACGTGTCTGTTTTCCAATAAATATACAGTATTGAAGATAAAATCCTGTAAAAATAACCCTTTCTATAGTTTTAATAATAAATTTTTTTATTAAATGTATTGTAATATATGTATTAAGTATATATATATTTTTAACGGTTATTATTTGAATTTTCTACTTACTACATTTTATTTTATAGCAAAACTAAATATTACAATAACATTTTTGAAGTTATACTTCTTAAGGCACGTTTGGAAAAAATGAAGAGAGTAAAATTATTACGAAGCGCGCGCACCGATAGCCAAAAAGCAACATGATAAAGTTAGTTGCATTCCTTTTACAAACAGAGAGTTGTGACATACGGGATGAAATTTTTAGCTATTTTTGTTCTCTTACGCCAAACAAGTATAACTTCTTACGTGCGTACACATACACACACACACACACACACACACACAAATTTTATTTTATATCTTCGTCACTCTTTTTTTTACATTTAATAATAATGACACTTCATATGTTTAAATCCATCAAACCATTTAGGCTATATAGCGTATCAATAAATAGTCATACTTACATACACGTATACTCAAAAACCTCAGTGCCTTTCTGGGGCTTTTGGTTATTTTTGTGGACGTGGTTTTGCTTTTGCAATTCAATATGGTTTTTGATATAAAACTTCAAATTTAATTTTCATAAACTGAGAACACTTTATGTAACTTATAAATTATTATAGCTTCAACGTTTTTATTCTAGTTTTATTTAAAAATATCGCACAAAATTCACATTTAATATTATAAATGTAAAAGTAGAGATACTTTTTTCATGCTTAAACCGCTAAACAGATTTCGATAAAATTTCACAAGGACATAGATTGCATCCTGGCCATCCTTGAACCCCGTCCTTATCACGGGAGCAAACCCGCGGGCATAAACTACTCACCTATAAATTCGACACCGTATTACTAGTATAATATTCTTTCTATTAAACTCACACTTTTGAGTATATTATTATTATTATTAAGTCATAAAAAGCAAATGTAGTTCATGAAATTTCATTTTTTTTGGTAAAAATCACTTTTAAAGTAATTTAACCAGTTTTTTTTTATAATTTTGTGTCTAAAAATAAGTTATTTTTCTATAACTACAAAAATTTTTAAAAAATTTTAATTTTTGAACATTCTTATGGATCGAGCACTACCTATATCAATTCATAATGTCGTTGCTAAAGGGAACTTTTGCTTCAAATTAAATTTGCGAATATGAATGAGTCTACTTTGTCTTAATGCGTTTGAAACGACGCCAACTTACGAAACACTGTTAAAGAGATACTGTTATGTTGTCGCTGAGTTACTTAGCAAGTTGGGAGCGTCTAAGTTTTAGTATACTATTTATAGGTAAAGTTGGAGATGGACTTTATCAATATCTGTCTTTATCAAATTTTCAAAAACTTGGAAAATTTTAAGATCATGAATTATTATTATATGACATTATTATTCAAAAAACTTATCGACAGTCTTAAGAAATCAGCATGAATTTTATTATTTATGTTATTATTTTCGAACATATTTCAACATATATTTTATCTTTTTTCGTTTGTAAATTTCAACTTCTTTTACTATATGCAATACCAAAACCCAATATTTTATATGAACTCGATACAAATTCAATTATAGACTGTCCAGTGACACTATTTGTAATGCTAATACTATACACAAACTTTATCGTCCTCCATAATGTTTTGAACTCAAATTTAGAAATTTCTGTTGGAAACTTGAATTTGTATGCTGTCTATATAAATCCATATATATATATATATATATATATATATATATATATATATATTTATATTGTAAAAAAAATAAAGTCGAAATATAAAATTTTAAACAAAAGTATCTTTTCGGATGATTTTTTCGGTTTTAGACGTCTCATATACCTTATATTATATATACTAGTTGTTACAGACAGTGTCTACCCACAAAATAATTAAATTGGGTTTTATCAAAATATAATACTTTCTTAGATGTACGCGAATATTTGACATTTTAAGTAAAACTATCTTTTCGGATTTTTTGCGGATTTGAAAAAGATATAGGAAGCAGAAATTCTAAAATTCTCTTTAAAATTGTCAAGGAAAGTTTAGACGCCATTACTATATATTTAAAGTGATATATACTTTTGTTTGAGTAAATAAAACATAATTTTTTTTTATATTTAAGTCTATCATAATAACACTATTTTTCGCGCATCCGTTTTTAATTATATAAACAAATTAATGTTATCTATAAAATATGTACATTTATGATATAAATTATCAGAAATATATAATATTACAAATATGGAATAAGCAAATATAGACATGATGGGTTTTTACAAATTGCTAATTCTAGATACCTAATTACTGTCAATTCGGATTTATATTTTCATATGTCAATATTATAATTAAAAAACTTAAATCTTTGCCTCTTAGTAGAGACAGTTTTTGATCAGTACCTATTAACGAGATTTAGTGTTATCTTAAAAAATTTTGGAAACAGTTTTTTATATGTACTCGTACCTTGGTAAATTCTATGCACGTATATTTTCCTTAAATTTCCAATAATGATTATGGTCTAATTTTGACCATTGGGCGACCGCTATCCATCATACTAATATTATAAATGTGTAAATGTGAAAGTGTGTTTGTTTGTTCTTCTATCACGTCGAAACGAAGTGACGTGGTTTTTTGTATAGAGATAGTCGGAGGGCTGGAGAGCTCATTCCCACGGGACAACACGTTATTATACAAACCAAAAAAATATTTCTGATCAGAATTACTTGAAACTTGGTTTTAATGCTCTTTTCCCTCAATGCAATAAATAAATACGTCTTTTACCATTTTTCGAAATTCATCCCATAAGGGGGTAAAATAGAAGATGAGTTTTAGCGCGAGCAACGCCGCGGGTTTTGTTAGTTATAAATAAAACTTTATAACTTGCATCAACCATACCTTATATTGTGGTGTGTCAATGTTTGTTCGGAGAGTAAAAGTTCAACATATCCTGTCGTCTCTTGGATGTATGCCAGAGCTATAGCTATGATTCTGTTATCTGTGATATGTTGTTAGTAGATATGTTATTTGAAAACACAATTTATTTTCCACTTGTCACTACGAAAAAGAGAATTTTGCTATTTTCATTATTTTTATTTAGTTACAATTTTTAAATTTTTGAAACATAATATAGGTATTATGAGAGTAGTTTATAATATCACTGCTGGAATTTTGTTTTAAAGAAGGATCCAGATGAAAGAAACGTAGGTTAGATATGATCCCAGTTGACAGAATAAAAGTTTTATGGGGGTACACTTTATTCTTGATCTTGGGGAAAGATATTTTTAAACACGTAATGACATTTCATTTTGAGTATATTGGAAACCTTTTAAAATATTTTAAATGAAACGATCTTTTCGGATTTTTTCGCGAATTTATTTAGATTTTCGTTTCGGATGGTTTACAGCAATCATGGTCACAGGACAGACTAAGGTTTTAGATGTGTCAGTCATTATATAGTTTTTACAGACAGTCTTCCCACAAAATAACAAAATGAATTAAAAAATACAAATGAAGTAAGTACTATATTTAAAATATCAATTCTCTCTTTTTGCCAGAGACTTAAAAAGTTATAAAATTTTATAACCTGACGTGCACTGTGACAAATTTACATTTTGGGACATAAAATGAGTTTGAGCTGCAAGAAATTATAACTTTATTCTGCTCTTCAAAAATTATTTATATATTATCTTTAGGCTATAGCAAATATGTATAAAATATATAATACGACCACACGTTTGGCTCAGTTTGTAGTGACCCTACTTGTTATGCCAGCGATCGCGGGTTCAAGTCCCGCTGGAGGCATTCATTTGTGTGATGAACACGTATCTTTGTATTCCAGTTATGGGTGTCTATATTTATAATATGTATATATTTAAAGTTATATACATATGTGTAGTGTATCTACTATCTGGTATCCATAACACAAGCCTCGTAGCTTACCATGGAACTAGATGGCGCTGTGTGGTACCCTCCATATTTATTTATTTATTTAATAAACACTTAAGCTTGTACTATAGCATGATAAGGTTGATTTAAGACCTAAGCACATAATTTTCGCAAGGGTCGAATTTCAGTGTGTAATACAACTAGGATAGAATTACAATTACGTGAGAACAATAAAAAGTGTAACTTAGAAAGGCTAGAGAAACTTTGTAAGTAACAAATTCAATCAGAATAAAAGATAGGTTTCGGAGAGCGTATACAACTTTTTTATTAACTTTCCACAATTTCGGTAATTTTCTTTTCTCCATTTATTTTTCCTTTATATACCTCTATATTTCTTTAAAGTATAATGCATATGCCATTACAATTATATTTGTAGTAATTTGTGTAAGTCTTTTGAAAATAAATTACTATGAAAAATAATAATTTATAAAAAACCTAGTATAAACCAAACACAGATAGGTAATCTAATGATCGTATCGATACATAAATCGTTATGTACAAAATCGACTATACCTACTATTTTCCTAACCATATTCAATAATATGCACCAACGGGTCTAGTTAATAACATCTTTATTTCGAAGTCGGTTAAACTTATTATCACTGTCGATTGGTATTCCCAGTATGAGAACTGATAATATTTTAAGACGTTATATAAAAGCTGACCTTTGAAGTTATCTCACAAACGGTACATTAGGCTTCAGTAGTATCGCACGAGTGGGAATAATGTATCGCGTTTTGCTTATATTTTTAATTTTCACTGCAATCGAAGGTTCTAGATGTAAACACCGACCGCGTCATTGTAAACACCCACGGCTGTACAAAGACAATCATCGTGATGTCTCTCTATTTGCCGACATTTCTAGTAAATTA